CCCAGAGGAGGTGGAAGCCCCCGCCCCCCTTACAGCAGCAGGACCCCCGCCCGGGCACCCTTTCTTTGCCTTATTTGCATCCTAATGCCGGAGACTAAAGGGAACCTACCTAAACGGTTTACGTTTGATGTCTTCTTGGGCTTGATTTCTTGGGTGTTTGCTCCACTGAACTGGCACTGGGGGAGTCTTCTGAAACCTCTTCTTCTGTTGTGTTGGCTCTTTTATTTTGAGGAGAGGAATCTAGGAGGGGGAAAATTAAAAATAAGTGGGGGGATGGGTAAGAGTGGTATTAAAATATTTTCTTTCCAGATGTTCGCCCGGCATCCAGGGGGAGTTGATGGGGTAAGGGGGGAGGAATAATCCTGGATCCCCATGTCAGTCATCAGCTACGTGAAAACGAGCAGGGGGAGGGGAGGTGGGCTCCTCTCTAGGCAAGAGATCCAACTTCCCTGTTTTCGGCTAAAATTCCTCTCCTTCTTTTGCTTCGCGTGAAAGTTACGAACCTCCTCCCACCTGGGTAGGAGGCCGGGTCCCCGCAGAGGGGCGGCGAGGGGACGGGGGGCGATAACGCGCGTCCGAGGGGCTTTTCCTTGCAAACCATCTACCAGCTCCCAGTTAACGCGGCCCACCCCCAACCCCGGGACCGCAAAAAGCACCTGGGCTCCTCGACTTTTTGGGGTTTTTTTTGTAAAAGGATGGGCACGGGGGGGATAGTGCACCAAGCCGGTGCCCAGCGGGGCACAGCCCCCCGCGGCCAGGTCACGCGTGGCCCCAGCGACGGGGCCGAGAGCGGCAGAGCGAAACGCTGTCGCAAAGGTACGTTACCATCGGTGGCAGGTCTTTTCCTTTGCCCAGTGCACTGCTCTGCAAAGTCCGTCTGATTTTCAGAAATATCAGTCTTTTGATCTACACAGTGAGTGTCCTCTGAGATTCCCTGAGAACCGACAAAAACCACGGTTTGGCAATTCCCGTTTACATCCAAGCTCTGGCGACCGGCGGACTTGCAGACAGCTTTCAGTAGCCTCGGGGGTCTGAAGTAGAAGTCGGGCGAGCTCCCCTTCTCCACGGCTTGCCACTCGTACCTGCCTTCCAGCGGCTTGTGATTCTGGAAATCGAAATTCCACTTCCTCTGGCATGCCTCCTCCATCTCCTGGCGGTGCTTCTTCAAGTCCCTGTTTAGCTCTTCATGATTCACCGGCCCGAAGAGGTTCCTGCAAGCTGACGGCTTCGGGTACTCCGACTGCCTGGCTTCCATGCGCTCCAGGGTAGGGCTCCCATTAGAAATACGGACGTTTGACATCTCCCCCCACCCTCTTTCTTCTGGCGGCGGTTGTTTTGCTCGCTGCTC